AGGAATGTCTTGATGACTGTTGAGGAGCCAGTTTTCTAAGCCCTTTAGATTGCCCCAGGCATTGCTGAAGAAACTGCAGGCTCTGGCAGAAGTCTATACAAGAAGTAAACAAAATAAATGTTTAATTTCCCAGAAAAAATATTAAAAAAATACATTTATGTCTAACAAGCATGAAAACATCCAACTGCTTCAAAAGCAAAATTGATAGCCTGTGAAAATCAAAGACACACACAGGTTTGGTGGTTGTGGAAGTCTGAATGAGAATGACCCCAGAAGCTCATATATTTGAATGTTTGGTTTCCCAGGTAATGGGATGTTTAGGAAGAAGTAGGAGGTGGGTTGTTTGATGAGGTGAGGTGTATTCACTGGGTGTGGGCTTTAGGTTTCAAAAGCCCATGCGAGGCCCTGTGTCTGTCTCTGTCTGTCTGTCTCTCTACCTCCAACTTATAGATAAGATGTAAGCTCTCAGCTACTGCTCCAGCACTGTGCCTGCCTGCCTGCGGCCATGCTCCTTGCCATGATGGGTAATGGACTCACCCTCTGAAATTGTAAGCAAGCACTCAATTAAATGTTTTCTTTAAAAAGTTCCCTTCAGTCGGGCAGTGGTAGCGCACGCACGCCTTTAATCCTAGCACTCAGGAGGCAGAGGCAGGTGTCTCTGAGTTCAAGGCCAGCCTGGTCTACAAAGCAAGTTCTGGGACAGCCAGGACTACACACAGAGAAACCCTGTCTCAAAAAACAACAAAAAGTTGCCTTGGACCTGGTGTCTCTTCACAGCATATGGAAAAAGTAACTAAGACAGTGGTGAATACTCTACTCATAGGAATATTGACCATTAACTTCCTAGAAAGCCGTATTGGCACAATGTAGCAAAAGTCAAAAGGGTACATAGGCAGAACAGTAACTTAAGAATCCCATTTATAGGGATTTACTCCTAAGGAACTAATTACCTCCTAAAGTATAGGGGGCAGAATCTTAAGTTCTAGCCAGCTGATGAACTGTATGTGATCAAAAGCATTATATATTTATCAAAACATAATTTACAGAATGATTTTTATTTATATGTATGTACAGGAAATGTTATAAACAAAAATGTCTTAATGTCAGGCTGGAGAGGTGGCTCAGCAATTAGAGCACTAGCTGCCCTTCCAGAGGACCCAGGTTCAATTCCCAACACCCACATGGCAGCTCACAGCTGTCTGTGATTCCAGTTCCAGGGCACCCAATACCCTCACCCAGACATACATGCAAAACACCAATGCACATAAAATAAAAATAAATTAATTTATAAAAATATCCTAATGTCACTTCACTAGGGATTATGGACATGTATTTTGAAAGATTTTTTTTCCCCTAAACTTCCTACTTATAATGAAGTGATTTCACTTTTGTAATTAAAGATTAAAAACATGCCCTTCTACATAGACATAAACTACTTACTGTTAACCCAATCTACCTCAGAAACAATAAAGGCAGCCACACACCTGACTATTCTCCAAGGTCTGTTTTGGGGTAAGCCAGTCTTGTGGGTTGGTACTGGGTACATAAGGAGCCTGATGACCAATGGCAGGTTTGCTTACAAGAAGCCATTCATTGAGAGAAACAGCTGTGCTGCTGGATGCTGACTTCTACAAGCCATAAAAAAAGAAAAGGAAAAACTTTGCTGTTTAACAAGGCAGTATCAAATGAAGGAGAAAATTTACCAGAAACAGAAGACCCAAGCACTCTAACATTGGGTTACTACTAACCATAAAGAAGTCATGCCTTCCCTGAACTTTTTTTTTTTTTTTTTTTTTAAACCTTATTGGGCTAGTGAGATGGATCAGGGGTAAGAGCACCTGCCACCAAGCATGATTAATCCTCTGGATCCAGTGGTCCTCTGACCCCCCACACAGGCACCATGGCCAGTGCATCCTGCCCCATAAATACACCATACACAAATATTTTTAAAATTTATTGTGTGTGAGAGGGCACCCATGCTATGGCATGTGTATGGAGGTCAAAGGACAACTTTGTAGAGTTGGGCCTCTCCTTCCAACTTTATGCAGGTCCTACAGATGAACTCAGGTAAAATGCACGGTAAACCTTTATCCCCTAAGCAGTCGTCTTTCCAGTCCCATTTTTCACAACTGTAAAACAAGATCAGGGACGGTGGTCACACCTACAGTCTCAGCACTCTGGGAGGCCAAGGCAAGAGGGCTCCAAGTTAAAGCCAGCTTGGGCTACATAACTATTCTAAGTCAGACTATGCTACAATATTTACAGCCCGTCTCAAAACAACACAGTCAATTGCTAGAGTTCTTCTAATTCAGATGTCTTCAATCTTTTATTCATTTGTTTTACAAACACATCTGAATCAGAGACTTCCAAGGAAGAACCAATATCAGTAACAATGTTAATAATTTCCATTTAACTGATTATTTTTCTCATTAAATCTATAAAACAATTAAATTTCTATTTGACATTTGGTGCTTCAAGAGAGGCAATTAAGTGGATGCTTTTTACAAATAAATAGTAGCAAATAAAAAAAATAGTTATCACGACACAAAAGAATTCATAAAGTAATGACTTAATTACCAAAAACAGAACTGCAGTTTACCTGCTCTGGCACCTGGATATAGCCTCTTTTCTCTAGGAAAGGCCCAATATTTGAGGAGCTAGCATGTGCCATCAGGTGCTCAGGAATTTGCTATCAAGAAGAAGAGAATCATGTTATTTATGCTTTTCTACCCCCCCCCCCAAAGTGATAGTATAATCCCTACATTTCAGAATCACTGAGCAAAGCATTTTATTTTCACTGTAAGTCCAATGATCAGTTTAAGCTATCTATGTCATAAGAAATCTTCCCTATACTTGGCAGTGGTGTGATTTAAACAAGACCCAAATGATACTACACCATTCAAACCGTAACCCTTATTTTTTAAATGTATCAGAATATTTCTAAAGAAAGAGGAAGAGCCCTAAGTATTCTCAGTGAATCAGTAACAATCTCCGAACTGCCAACCTATAGTTCTGACTTAATCATTTCTAAAGGTCACTGCCTCTAGCAAGCCACCATCCAGGAGGCTATCGACTTGACAAGTACCCTATGAAATAGCTGAAATTAACATTACTTACAATTGTCTTAAGGGATCCAAATGTGGTGATGGTCTGGCGCAGAGCAGATGTGTCTGCTTCAAAGAGTAGGACAGTCGAATCTTCAGGTTTAAGAGCCAAACTGCCCAGTCTATGAAAGTGATAAAATTTAGATATTTTCCGAGGAATACCAATATTAGCAAGTATAACATTAAATACCAAAGTAAGCAGGATGGTTTTATACAAGAATAGAAAGTCAAGTTAAATTCAACACATGCAATGAGTTATAAATCTGACTTGCTTTTTATGCCCATGAGAGTAGACCGAAGTCAAAACTAGTAAAAGGTTCTTTACCTCTCCAGGCACAGAGAGACTTGATTGGCGAGATCTTTGTTCTGGGTGTACTCCAGTTGATGAATAAGACAACTGAATTGGCCCATTAGCTATAAGAAACATGAAATCATCTATTCACAATATTGAAAGTATCCAGATTAATAAATAACATTTTAGATTAAACTCCTGTCTTGACATATTAATAATTCACGGCAGATAAAACGTTCTCTGGAATCTAGAAAGCATCCTCAACCAAGTGCAGCCATGTAGTCACCTTACCCAGTAAAGCTGCTGAGCCTGCTGCTGCAGTGTCTCCTCTTTAAGCTGGTAGATGAGATCTACCTGTTCATTGAGCCACACCTCACGACTCCGAAGGCACTCTAGATGGCGACTTATGCAACTGTGAATCTGAGCTTTTACCTAGGAAATGCATGGTAACATAAACTAGTGTTATAAGCCAAGGAATGGCAATTCCCATAAATACTAATGCTCTTAAACTTTTCACCATATACTCAAAAATTTGCCTACAATTTCAGTAATCCCATGAAGTCTTAGGAATCCTGGTTAAAGAATCCAAGGCTAAACCTTGGATTTATATATATACCTAACTTCTAAAATACCTTCATTCCTCCCCCCCTTAGATGATCAGGCTTCATTTTACATATCAGCAATCAAATGAAAAAGATATGCCAGGGATACTAATCCCCCTCAGCTTTCCAAACAACGCTAAGCTTTACATGCCTTTAATCCCAGCACTCAGGAGGCAGAGGCATGTGGATCTCGTAAGTTCCAAGCCAGCCTGGTCTACAGAGCAAGTTCCAGTTCAGCCAAGGGTACACAGAGAAACCCTGTCTTGAACAACCCCCTCCACCAAAAGACTCTCTGGCTGGTCTGTCCTTTTTCCCACCTACATGGAATAAGCAGTCCAATTCTAGTAAGCCAGTTTAGTACAGGCAAGGGCCATCTTATCAAAAGCAAAGAGACCATTAGGGTGGATAGTTTAGCTAAATTATAAACTAATGTTCCTAAGAGTGTATGCAATGGTCCACATTTTGTCTATATACAAACATTTTGAGAGAAAAATTCAAAACAGCTATAAATCATTCATGAGCATTCACATAAGTATATCATATCGGTGTATCATAAAAGTTCCCCTTTGGAAAAAGTTGTTTCTAAGTCATATACTACTTGAAGCACTGACCAGCAGAATGCTATTGGAACTAACCAATTTCATTCTGACTATGCCACTTATATCATGCTACCAACAAGTTAAATTAAATGGAGACATAATGAAGTGTCATTTTTTATATATCAAAAAGGTACAGCTCTGCCAGGTATTGTAGCACACACTACACATTTAATTCCAGCACTCAAGAGGCAAGCAGTTCTCTGTGAGTTCCAGGACAGTCAAAGCTATGTAGAGACCCAGTCTCAAAAAAAAAAGCAGCTAGGCAGATTCCTGCTCACTCTCTTGTTACTCTGAATAACTGGGTACAAGAGCCACACAAAGGAGCAATCAAAACACACGCCAAATGGCAAATCTCCAAGTAGATTCTCAGATTCTTCCAGCATCTGACTTATTTCCCTGTGGGACCAAAAGCTCCAACATGCCAGGCAAAGGATTATTTAGGGTTAAGAACATGCAGGATATGGGATCAAACTTTCTGGATGGCATGGAGAAGTTAAGTGCTCTACCCAGCCTTGTGCTACATCCAGGCAGACCAAGGAAGAGGAAAGCACACAGCATACCTCTCGTAAGTTATCTTTAATTTGCTGTTCAGCCCGGAGTACTCCACTAATAGCAAGCTCCAGCTCCCTCCGTGCATCACTGCACCTCAAAAGTGTTTCTCTATTACTGTAGCAGCCACTCTGTTCCAGGGAAGTATTCATTCTGCTCACCGTTCCTTTAAAAGAAAGAAAGAAATCCAAATAGCACCATAATTACAACCTGATACCACCTTTTGATGTCTCAAATGGTTAATCCAACCAGCTCTCATTACTGACACCTTTGGTGATTTCCAAGATACATATTCAATACGTACATATTGCCTCCCTTCCTACCTAACCTGTTTCTGCTAGAAAATTCTATGCCTTTAATCCCAACACTTGGGAGGCAGAGGCAGGCAGGTCTCTGAGTTTGAGGCCAGTCTGGTCTAGAGAGTTCCAGGAGAGCCAGGGCTACAAAGAGAAACCCTGTCTCAAGAAAGGGGGTGGGGGGCGCGGGCGGTGGTGGTGCATGCCTGTAATCCTAGCACTCGGGAGGCAGAGGCAGGTGGATCTCTGTGAGTTCGAGGCCAGCCTGGTCTACAGAGTGAGTTCCAGGACAGGCACAAAGCTACACAGAGAAACCCTGTCTCGAAAAACCAAAAAAAAAAGAAGAAAAGAAAGAAAATTCTATGATTACTTGGGGGGGACACTTTACATGTGAACATATATATTTGAGGAAATACACCAATGGTCCTGAATTAACAGGACACATGCTGGTGAAGTGTTCAAAGAACATTAAACCACTTTTGGTATTAAGGGGTTGTAATCCCAGCACTGGGTTGGGGAGGGACTCATGACAAGCAGGGCTACATTGCACTGGTTTTGAGACCCTGTCTCAAAAGACAACAAAACAAAAACAAAAACACCAATCATTAATAGGATTCTGGACTACAGATGTGGCTCAGTGTAGAAATAACTCTCCTACCATGTGTGATTCCCTGGGTTTTATCCCTGCTACTGCAGATTTCCCCATCATGATCTTGACACCGCTCCCCCCCCCTTTGCTCATACAATCCCTCTTCCCTCTCTTCGACTGGACTAGAAGAGAATTTTAAAAAAGAAATGGAGCCCTTGTTGAGCAGCTGAGTTGGTACTCTACTGGGTATACAGAAATTTCAATTTAGATGTTATATGGATGTATTTGTCACAAGGCTACTCTGTCCCACGACTATTAGGCTAAAATTATTTCTGAGTAACATGCTATGGAGACATTTAGAAAAGGGAAGGAGGACTCAAAACCATGGAGGGGAAAACAAAACAAAACTATCTCCAAACAGGAAGGCCATTTGGCCTAGATAAGCAACTCTCTGGAGGGCGTGATTACTACTCCAATACTTGTAGAATCAGACTTCTTCAGCATAGCCCCAAGGAGGGGAATGGCTTCACAGACGCCTAACAGTCCTGAAGGCAATGACTCAAAGAGCCTGCTTTGGGCTCGGCAGCAACAGCTTGTCAGTGCAATCACATCGGCTGCCCGCCCACCCATGAGAGGCAAGGGACATTTTGGACTGGCCTTGACAGCACCCCCAAGACTAGGTTTCACATCAGGCTGAATGCTGATTAGGACCTATACTGAGTCCCCACCCTCGGAAATAAACTGGGGGGCTGGAGGGATGACTCCGCAGTTAAACGCACTGGCTGCTCTTCCAGAGGACTAGGGTTCAACTTCCAGCATCCACTAGGGCTCACAACTGTTTATAACTACAGTCTCAGGGGTCCTCAGATACTATCCATGTAAGTGATACAGAGACATAAATGCAGACAAAACACCCATATGCATAAAATAATTTTTTAAAAAAGAAAGAAAGCTGGGCGGTGGTAGCGCACACCTTTAATCCCAGCACTCGGGAGGCAGAGGCAGGTGGATCTCTGAGTTTGAGATCAGCCTGGGCTACAGAGTGAGTTCCAGGAAAGG